TTTTTTTTTTTTTTTTTCGAAATTCAGTTGTAATTTTTTTAATGTAATTAATCCTTTTACATTTTTTTCTGAATTCCTATTTTTTCTGTTTTCTGCTGGGATTTTTTCTCTGTTTTTATTTTTCTGGATTCTGTGTAGGGCTGCACGATACATCGTTTCAGCATCGATATAGCGATGTGCGCATCCGCGATAGTCACATAGCAGGATGTGCGATGTTTAGTATACTGATCGTTATATTTATACTGATTGTTTTCTTTGCTCACACACAGACACCGTGTCTACACGCTAAACTGGATGCGACAAAGCGACCGTTGCAAATCTTTGCAACTTTGTGTCAGTGCGTCATAAATAGAACGAGGCATCGGTTTACTGTCGGGGATTTGTCGTGTCGCTCCGCGCCGCATCCAGCATCACTGATTATAATGGGTTCTATTGTATTTTGTCGTGTCGTGCCGCTCTCGTCCGGTGTAGACACGGTGAGAGCCACGCAGATGTACGTGAACACCGAATTCCCTTCACTTCCGCGTCTATTTGTGCCTGAAATGACACATACGCGTGAAATTATGTCGCAATGCATGTCTCTGGAAGTATCCTTGTAAACACGTTGCTTATGGCTTAGGTGATGGTTAACAGTTGAGAAAGAAAATGGATGTGTAACAGTATATTGGTTATATAACACATCAGTTTAATGTTCCTGTTGCTTTCTGTGTGATGAATGTTAATCAAACAACAAAACACATAGAGAAAAATCACTTTTGTAGTGTCACGATACTACTGTGCGGGAGCGAAGGAGAACAAAGAAGAAGGAGTTTCACAAATAACAGTCTTTAATAATAATCCACAACCAGGGTAACACACAGGGCAGGCAGAAACACACACTTAGCACTTGTATAGATGACACCGGACAAAGGAACGGAGAACACTTTAAACACAAGTCTAAACGAGAGTAATGAACTAGACACACCTGAACCAAATGACTAATCAAACTAGAGGGAAAACTAGGTCACGGAGCACAAGAGGAGAAAACACACTCAAACAGGTCCATATTCCTGACATGTTGCTTTAAAGGGGTGGTTGACTGGGTTTTTTCTAGGCTTGATTGTGTTTATGGGGTGCAGTCTAACATGTGTTCATGCTTCGTTTTTTAAAAAACGCATTATTTTTCACATAATTTACCTTTATTCCACACCGATCTGTCCCTTCTCTAACAAACGCCTCAATTATTTCCTGTTTATATGAAGCCCCTCCCTCAGAAATAGGCGATGGGCTGAGATTGGTCAGCTGGCTCAGTGTGTTGTGATTGGCTAAACCGCCTCTACAGCGCGTCTGAACATCCCGCCCCTCAAGCTCAGAATGTGCTTCGGTTGTATTGTAAACAATGACGTCCTCTATATTGCTTATCAATTTGAGCCCGATTGAGACGCAGTGAATATTAATTAAGAGGATCGCGCAGAACCTGTGCAAGCACTGCTCTTAATGGTATGTTTGTTTGTTGTTGTCCCATACTTTTAGATACGCTGTTGTTTGTAAATGCTACTGCTTCTGTTAGCTTTTAATATACGGTTTTATTCTGATTAAAGCTTTAATACAGCACAGCAATCGTACGCACGTCCATGTATAACGCTTCTCATAGCTATGTGAAAATAAGTGTATAAATGGAACAGTTTGTTGGAGCTGATCTGACGATCTGAATGAGAGAGAGCGAGAGAGAGAGAGAGAGAGAGA